GTTTACTTCAAGGGCAATGTAAGAAGTTCAAGTTCAGGGGTCCCCCTTCGATAGAGAAAACTCCTCATTCTTGTGAGGAGTTAACGGTATGTATAGGGTGGGGACGGGGGGGTTTCTCCAAAAGAAAAAGGGATCGTGAGAAAGTGATGAAGGAAGAGAAAATCTCAGAGGGAAAAGGGGTAACAAGGAAGAAGTAGTTCTAGACAAGAAAAAAAGCTCAGTATGAAGGAAACAATGATAAAAATAAATACTGATTTATTAATCACATTACAAACAGCGTACCTCTTATTTCTGAAATGATACCAAAACGAAGGACGCTACATCGCGTCCTTTAATTTAAAATTTAATCGCGTTTTAAATAAATAAAAAAAAACATTTATATAAAGTTCTGTTTTACCTTAATTAGCAATTTAAAATTTAAAGTGTGGAAAAAAGTGAGTTAAGATAAAGGCAGAATAAAGAACCGTGGATGGTTCAGGGGATAGAGCATTCGCCTTCCAATGAGGTGAACGGGTTCGAATACCAGCTATGGGTGGCCGATGCGAATTCCGCTCCCGGCTTGCACCGACCACAGTGCTGACGTAAAATGTCCTAAGTGGTAGGCGGATCATGGGTTAGAGCATAGCCACCGAGAGTCAAGGCCTGTCTGTAGATTTGTGACGTCATCCTCTGAAGTGTTAGCGAACCATAAGATATCGCGGTATTCAGATTTGCATTAAGAGAAAACTATAATAAATAGTTCAAACTTTTGAGCGACGTAAAGTATCGTTGCTTTAGCTAATTTAATAACTTTTTGTTAGAATAAATCAGTGTTATTTATCACGTTATAACGCAATAAAATGAACATGTAGGACTGTTTGATGCTTTTCATGAAGCAGTATTTTGTATATTTCATAACAGAAAATGATTTAATAAGATTTTTTTTCTTTTAATTTTAAATCTTGGTTCATCATGACTGTTTTTAATATCAATAGAATAAACCCTATTTAAGTGTGTAATTTATTATTTTCTAGTAAGTAATCAAATATTAGATTTAATCATATAATTGAAAATGCGAAATGATACATTTTAATACGGAAACGAATACGAGACAAATAAAAAATATGTTATATCGTGGCAGAAAAGAGACATACAATGAAATTATAATTTTATTTGCACATTCTTATGTGTTTTATTTTAAAATAAGTTCTAAAAAATTCTTTCAGAATCGTATGGTATACATTTAAATTCCAATGGAAATAATATCAACATAAACACTGAAATTATTTAAAAATAAACGACTCATAAAATATTTAAATAAGAGAAAAGCTAGTAATAATTATAAAGTAATAATAATAAATAAATTATAAGTAATTTAGAAAAATATTTCGATTCTTTAGATTGTAAATAGTATTTATTATTTTCAAAAATAAATATACCTTTTTATATTTCTTGTTGATTATTATAAAAAAGTAAAGTATTTTGAAATCTTAAGTTTTTCTAACATATGAATTTATTAATAACAATCTTTCTTATAAGATTTGTTAAAAAAAAATATCCCAACATAGAGATTACTTTAAAAAATTATTAGTATAATATTTGGAGCAGAAATTGTTCTATAATTAAAAAAAATTAAGCATTGTAAAAGACTAGAAAATATTGAATATTTTTTATGAACTAAATTTGAAATTGTCTAAACTGTTTGAACTGTCTTTTTTAAAAATAAAAAAAATTAAGATAGAAAAAATATAAAATCATTTATTAAAATCATTTTTCCTGTTACTCGATAAGATGCATCTCATTAATATATTATATATAAGATACATTTGAATGAATATGCATACATATGTATTAACTTATATATTGTTTTAAAGCTTGTTTACATAAACCTAAAAATGGGAATACGAGTAAAATGAGAGTAGTTCATTTAATCTGGATCAAACTCAAAATTTATTCATACCATATGAAGATGAACAAGAGTTTCATTAATAATTCATTTAAAATTTTAACGTACAAAAATTAAAATGGTTAACAATGCAATAAATTCCTTTTTTATTAATATGATTTAAATGCATCGGAGTTTTTTGCTTTCAAGTATGAATGTTTACGAAATTTTACTCATCGTAAGCTATCGTTAAGTATAAATAAGTTTGAAGTGCCAATCAACATTGTTATTATTATTTCTATCTTTTAAAAATGTAACTAGAGCGGTTTGTTACCAGTTTTTTAAATAATAAAAATTTTAACTCTTGTATGACATCTGATATTCGTTTATATCACATCTTTAAACAAGACGAATGAAGTTCAAATTTGTTTTATTTCACTTCTAAAAGTTTTGCATAAGTACGAATGTGTTGCTAGTTTTATATTCTAATTATTCGCTAACAATAAACAATACCTATAACATTGTAATTCTTAAATACAATTTATTTCATTATGTAATTAATAAAGATAACACTTACTCGGCTATTAACACTAACTGTCTCGTTATGCATTAATCCATTTACATTTCATTTCCTCACTTTTCAGGAACTTAACTGATACTTTCGGCAGATTTTTGTAGTTCCCTTTACATTTAGGGACTACACATGCATATGACATTGTTTAAAAGTTGTAAAGTCTCCTTGCCGTCAGGCTAACCGTGGAAGGTTTCCGTGGTTTTTCTCTCAATTTTACGCAAATGTGAGTTAATTCCATCAAGAAAGTCCTCAACGAAGGCAAATTTCTCCCACTACTTGATCCAGGAATTAACCCTTGTTTTCTGGATTGGGTTAAAAATTACAAGGCTATGGCGTTGAAAATTAGTAGCCATAAACCCAAAAATTGAGTCGGCTGTTCAACGACAGCTAAAAAATTTAAAAAAAAAATGCAGTGTAAACCACGAAATTTAAAATGCTGAAAAATATAAAAGTACAAACAAATTCCCATTCCATAATCCTTCAATAATAGGTTTCTCTCGCGGTATAGCGCCCTTTTAAATTAGATTTAAGATTCGTTATTTTACTGAAGTATTTCTATTGTTGGCTAATAGAGAAATCCCACTCTTTGCAAATATTCAACGGCATTGAACTAGCTTAATTGAAAAAGTCTCCTGTATTTTCTAATCTCTCATGTATTTTTAGGTTCATTATATTAATCCTATATGACCTTAGGCTATTTCAGAACTATACGAATAATTTCTCATCAAAACTGAATTCGTTTAGGCTTCTTGCAGTAAACCTTTAAAAAGGCCATTTACAATTAGCTATCATTATATTGGGTTTACTAACAGCTATCTGTAATAAATCAGGCTAATTAAGAAAAAAAAACTAATATATTTTCTAGCTAGTATAAAGGTTTGTGGATTCAGGGCAGTAAGCTCAGAAAATATCAGGCTGATTAGGAAATACTGAGGAGTATTTCAATTAGTTTGGAGCATTGCAAAAGTACGGTGGTTGTTTACAAAAAGAGATCTCTGTTGCTGATTTTTCGATCAGCCTATTTCGGCTGGCATGACTGAGTGGCTATTTCGATGTCTTTGATCCAAACTTGTGTCTTATTTAATTAAAATAAAACCGGCTTAGAGTGGTGGCTCAAGAGACGAAACGCGCTCCCCCTAGTGAGGTGAACAAGGTTCGAATCCTAGCGCTGATCCCGCTGACCACAATATTAACGTTAAATATTTTTAGTGGTAGATGCTTCGTTGGTTAGAATTCTTTTACCGTCGGTCTAACAGCAGGAGGTTTTCGTGGTTTTCCACTTGTTCCAATAAAAAGCCTGCACGGAAGCTAGTTTGTCTCAATGCTCATTCCGGGAGTTCTCTTGTCTGTTGTATTTTCTAGCCAAGCTAGATAAATTATTCTTAATATTTATTGCATAATCAAGTGAAATTTACTGCTTCAATAGTTAACAATTGAAAGTCGGATTTAATATTCAAGGTAAAAACTGAAATATAAAAAAAAATAAAAACTGTTACAAAAAATTGTTTAAATGTATTTTATTCTACTTAATATTTATTGTTGAACATCAGTTCCATATCTAATGTGTGGCAATCAGTGTTCAGCTCCATTGCATTGTAACTTTAAACCCAACTCAGAAGACAAGAAAACTCTTAGATCACGTGTTTGAACAAACTCGGAGAGAAACATTGTGCTACTTAAGAAGAAAAACAACGAAAATTTTCTATGGTTAGCCCAATGACAAACATATGTTAACCCATAAACCATCTACCAAGTCGGAAGCAGTATACGAATTCGAACTGGAATTCGAGACTGTGCGATATATTATTGGCTAGGAATTTTTTATCTCTGCAGTGACGGGATTCAAATCATTCAAAACCGGACTGCAAAACATTTTTTGAGAGTTTTATTTAGAAAATAAAAAAGGAAATTAATATTCAAATACTAAAAATACATTTATTTGTATAGAACTGATTTTTTAAAGCTTTGATTTTTAAGATCTTACTAGATTTACACTAATGAGCTATTGGCGACATCATATGATAGGCAAAAAATAAACTCTCCTCTAGATTTAAATGTATCAGATATATAAATTTCAAAGTTTATATATATTTCTTAAATATATCTTTATATTAATGGTCAGTCTAACTATCTGGTATCGTAACTATAAAACAAGCAGGTATATTTGTAACCTATCATTGCTTTATTGATAACTTTTAAGTTTTTTGTATTTTTTTTTTATATCAGCCTTAAAATTTAAAATCAATAAATTATGTTCAATAGCGTTTAGAGGTGCAGTCACAAAAAAAGAAAAAAAGAAACTTCCTTTTCTTTCAGTCAAAAAATAAAATATAGAATAGAACAGAAAAAATAAAAAGATTTTTTTCCCTTCTGAGATAATAGTAAGATATTTTTTATTCATCTTTTGATGAAGGGGAAAAAAAAGGATTTCTTTTTCTTTCCTAAGAAACGGTAAAAATCCCACGGTGGGTCTAAGAATATCAGAGGCCCACAGAAAGGGGTGAGCTAGTCTGTAAAGGGGTACATCAAGGGATAGGGTTAGGGGTAGGAGAGAAAAATAAGTTCTGAAAAAGAGAGAAGGGTAGGAAAAAAAATGACGCAATTCTGACGTCACTGCGCGAACACCACACTCAACTCTACAGCCAGATGCCGCTTTATCGTGCTCTCGGAAGTGCTTATTTTTTTTCACTGAAGCTGCCACATTATGGAATTTAAATCGTTTGCAATTTCAAGAATCGTCTGCAATTTTTATCCTAAGATGAAGGTGAGTTCATTTTATTAAGTAGTATGGATAGATCGTTTTCTGTTTACAAACAAACGTTTTGTTTTTGGATGGACGTAAGTCGACGTAACATCCAAATATTCATGCCGTGTCGAGAGGTTTCTTCTCCGGCTTATGTGTAGCGATGCTCGAATTTTAGGCTTAAAGTTTGTTTATGTTTTTCTCGTTGTAAAATCTCACTTATTTTGCAGCTCTATTTAAAATCAGATACAAATTAGCTCGTCCATATTAATCTGATAAATAAATCTGATCATAATAAATAATTTATATCGAGAGTAATTTAAATAAAAATGAATATTTTATTAATTAAAAAAAATTTTAAAAAAAAAGTTGCTATCAATTTATGATTTAAAAGCTTTGTATTGTGTTTGAAATTCAAGATAGGATATTGATTTAAATTATTAATTCAGACTGATTAAATAAATTATTATTTATTGAAAAATTCAATATCTTAATTGAATATTTAAATTATAGGAAATCAATTTAAAATATTTTTGTTTATGATATTATTGCAAATTAAAATTAATTTATTGCAAACTCTCGTTAAATCTGTTGTTTATTTATTTAAGATGTAAATCAACTTTGTGTTGATATGATTCATGTTGAAAATTGAATTCATCATTCAAAATTTAATAGATATTTTATTAAATGACTGATTTTCGGAATACTCTTAACAATTTGTGATATTTTTGTTAAATATATGATTATAAAGCTCTTTCGATTGTTTTTTTAATTCTAAAAATGTTTTTGCTATTTTTAAATCATTGAGTTTTGCACAGTTGAATAAAAGATGAATTATAAAAACTTATGTAGTTAAAATTGACCTACAAATTTTTTTCCTTGATTTTTTTTATATCAATTAATTTGAGTTTTAAAATTTCCTCTTATTTTTATCTTTATTTTTCTCTTCTAGAATTTGAAAACAAAAATTAGAAACGTAATTATTTTTTAAATTGTATGCTGATCATCATTTCTAAATGATGGCTTACATTGAACTAAATATTTGTACTTTCTCTGAATAAGTACTTAACTTTTTTTCCCCGACGAATTTAGATTCCTTTTCTTCAAAAAGAAGAGGGGTAGCATAGTTTTTAAATTGTAAGGTATACGAATTTATACACCATTTTAAACTATGCAATTCAAAGTAAAAAAATTTAAAAAAATGCATGAAATTGGTAAAATAATATTTGAGCCGATATTTCAGAGAAGTCGTATTTTTAAATTTTGAACTATTTAACCGTTTCCCTACAAATTTTGAATTTCATCGCTTAAAACTAGGTGGATTAAATTTATGCAAAAAATAGTATGCTGTTTTTCTGAAGAAATTACTAACTCTTTTTTAAAAAATTGCTTCACGAGAAATAGGTAAAATAAAAAATAAATTAAAAATTTTTTTTTCTGTAATTAATCTTTTTTTAATTATTAATCTTTAGATAGGCAAGTTTTATAATTCTGTGCAATTTTTTAAAAATTGTTTTATTACTTCCGAAGGTATGGCGAAAATAGGCAAAAGAATTTGCATTAAGATACTTTAGCTTTTGACTGCTCTCCAGCCTAATCTATTGGAACCATATTTGTGCCCCCCCCCCATGTACTGAAGGTCAAGAATCTAATTTCTTCGTAAGAAAGGCATATGCATTAATAATTAACCAATTTAAGGTCAGGTTATTAAATCGTATTTCGGGAATATCCGATAATTAGTTCAAAAGTTATTTGGTACTCCTGAAGTTGTCCTTTATGTTTTCTAAATATAATAAATATTTTAATGTAAAAAACGATTAAATTATATTTTTGTACTTTATTTTTAAATAATATTTTTTATTATTAATGTAAAAATTATAAAAAAATAATTATTTAAAAAAATTTTTTTATATTAATGATTGAAATTATTTAACAATATACAAAAATTATTTTATTATTTAAAATCATTTTTTAAATTTATCAGAGTGTAAATAATTACGTAAAAAAAATATTTAAACAAAAAAATGCTGAATATTTTGTACTTTATTTTTAAATGGTTTTTAAAATAATTTATATGAAATTTTCATTTATTTATAAGTAATTAATATTTACAAATAATTAAAAGCTAAGTATAATCATTTAAAAATTAAATACATGATTTATTTAGCGTTTCAAATTATAAGAAAATATTTGTTAAATACAATTTGTTTGCACAGTTGAAATTTAAAACGAATTCTTTTAATAAACAACTCCCATCTAGAACCAAACGCTGTGTTACTATTTTTATAACGCTGTTACTCTATCAGGGTGTAAACAATTTTAAATTAAATTATTAAAATAATCAATTTCAATTTTTTAGTTTATTCAATTCTTAATTTTTTCTTTAAAAAAATATTTAAATTAAACTATTATTATCGAAGCGAAAATTATTTTTTTAAAATTAATGCTGCCGATTTTAAACAGAGTTAATTATTTAGATTATTCATAACATGTTCATGCATAACAATATTATTTCTGTAGTAATATGCATATTATTACTTAATAATTCTTTGTTTAAGCAATATCCTCTCAATAATTTAACTCAGGTATTAGAAAAAATAGAATTTAGAAAAAAAATACTTATATTTTTTTTTCTAAATTTTATTTAAAAAAAAACATTGTTATTATTTAGAAAAAAATAAAAATATCTAGAAAAAAATTTATATATTTTTATTTTAGAACAGAAGAAAATATATTTAGAAAAAGAGAATTAAAAGAAAATCAGATTTTTTAATCATCGTTTATCTTGAAAATGTATGAAGTAAAAATATATTTGTCATAAAGTCAAGAAGCACTTGGTTTCAGTATTCAATTAAATTTTAATTTTATAAAGCTTGGACTCCTTTAAAGTAATAACTGCATCGTGTTGCAAAACAAGTTGATGATATTTTTATTACTAGGTAATTTCAAATTTATGTTTAATGTTATTTTATTTTTAAATCCACAGTAAATCTTTTTTGCCATATACTAATAATTTATATACTAATAATTTATATATATATAAGTTCAAAATGAATAAAACAAAGAAAAAGTACATTAAATTAAATTACAATTAAAAGACATATGAAAAAAGGGGGGAATAATAAGTAAAAAAATAAGTTTTAAAAAAAAAACNATTTAGTTTTCGAAAAAAAAAAAATGTAGCGATAAAATAAGTTACCAAGCATGTCTTTTTGAGAGACGTTTTTTTTAAATCCCCCCAAAAATAGTTCTCTATAAAATAAAAACATTTTCTCCATCTCAAATCACTAAAAATATATGTTTATATATATATATATATATATTTATAAATATTTGTTCATTAAGTATATAGTGTTTAAAGTTATACATAACTTTTTTTTCTTCTCATTTTGGTCATGATCTATTTATTTAAAATTTGTACTTGGCAGTATTCGCTACTCAGAGCTTCGATTAAATAACGTTTGTATAATTCTTTCACTAGTAACAAAATAGAAAACTTTCTGAATCATGACTATTTTTTGCTTTCTTCTCTTTCTATTGGCATGACAGCCCTTTGTGGGCCAGAGCTTTCCCTAGAACCTTCCTCCCTTCTGCTCTTTACGATTGTTCTCCAGTTGATGATTCTTAGGTTTTTAAAATCTTCTTCCACGCATCTGATCTTAGGCATGCCTCTAACTCTGTTTCTCATTGGTTTGCAATTGAAGATCTTAAATGTCAAGGAATGAAAGTCCGTTCGACAGATGTGATCAGCAATCTTTAAGCGACTTATTTTGATGTATTCGTTGATATCAGCTTCCTTGAATAGACTATATAGCTCAAAGTTATATCTATTTTTGCTTAGAATGTTAATTAAATTATGCGAGCCGCGATGGCTCAGGGGATAGAGCATTCGCCTTCTAATGAGGCGAACCGGGTTCGAATCCCAGCGAAGGCTGGTCGATACGAATCCGCATCCGGCTGGCACCGACCACAGTGCTGGCGTGAAATATCCTCAGTGGTAGACGGATTATGGGTTAGAGTCCCTTTGCCGTCCGGCTAACTGTGGGAGGTTCTCGTGGTCTTTCTCCATGTAACTCAAATGCAGGTTAGTTCCATCAAAAAGTCCTCCACGAAGACAAATGTCTCCCAATACTTGATCCAGGAGTTCCCTTGTCTTCTGCATGGGGCTCAAAATTACAAATGCACTGAGTTTAACATTAGCAGTCGTAAACCCAAAAATTGGGTAGACTGTTCAACGACGGTTATAAAATAAAATAAAATTAAACTTAAGAGTGTTTCTTAAAGTAAACATTAGAGATTAAATGGGCTCAGCCCGTATCCGGGCCCAACGCGGACTCATGATAAAATTTTCATAAAATTTCTTACTATTATTAAATAAACGTTTGGTTCAATTATTAATCATAAAAATTTAAAATTTATAAAGTACAGAAAATTACAGCGATCTGCTACTTCTTTTGTGAGGCTAGCACTAATGTTCAAAATTACTTTTATTTAGCCTAGAGTTAGTTTTTATTTTCGTTTTTTTCTTTTACAGGTTAGTGATAAAAAAGAATTTAATTACAAAAAAGAATGTTTTTATAGGTTTTAATTTACTAATTTCCTTGTTCAAACGTCAAGAGCGAACAATTTTGTCTTTATCCGACCTATATCTCGGGCTCGGACCTCCAAAAGCGAGTCCGAACTCGTCTATAGTACACATTAGATTTTAAGATAGATACACACACAGAAACCGCCAACAATTGAAGAAAAAAAAATTCTTTACAACTGATCCGTCTCCATTAATTAATATATCTTCTAAGAAAGTGCGCATGCGTGATGAAGGAGAAAAACTAGATCAGAATGGGTCGTAATTCATGGAAGAGGAGCTACTACCCATGTTTTATTTCCTATAATTGCAGCTTTATTTGTTGAAAGAGCAGGATGCGACTGATGAGGCCCACGCTTAAGGGACACAAGTTCGTCCTTTTTTTTTTACAGAAGGGGTAGAGGGGAGAGCTTAGTTGAATGACCGAATACCACCA